TAACTTTAAGTAAATATTTTACAGATTGTGTAAGTTTCACAGATTAAAGTGTAAGTTTACAGATTAAAGTGTAAAATTTACAGACTAAGATGTAAAATTCACAATTTATAGGGTAAATTTTACAGATTACATTGTAAATCTTACAGATTTAAGTGTAAAATGTACAGATTAAAATTTGAATTTTAGAGATTAAAATGTAAACTTTACAGGTTATAGTGTACAATTTACAGATTGAAGAGTAGAAAATAAAAACAAGTGTCCAAGTGGCACTAATACGTTTCCGTAAAATACGGTAATAGTTTAGCTCTCATAAATTTAATTGATAAAGTGATCTCCACTGAACCTATATAATTTTGAAAGTTTATCGATAAAATAAAACAATTATTCACACTTGCATTTACAAAATACCTTTTACAAATGACTTACCAAAACTATGGCATTTAGCCTCTTCAGAAAATATCGGGAAATGCTCTGCTAAAAAATTAAACATGCAAGTATTTTGACCACTGAAAGTATATAAATGATTAAATCTCATTCGGAAACAATGCTGAAACTAAAAGTTAAGAACCAAACCAAAAGTTAAACATACCATGACTGGAAATCGAAAAGTCCATAAACTTAACTCACAAACGATACAACCTGCTGTCACAACAGCACGGTGCAAAAATGACCAACAACCCAGAGAAACTCAAAACCTGTCTATGGTCACCAGTCATGTGATAGGTCTACACTATTCGTTCAACTGAGTTTTGGCGGGAAAAAAATGTACATCGTGAAATCGAAATATAAGACAGTTATTCTATAAATGCAAAACATTCTGATATGCTAATGTTTTATGAATGAGGAAGAAGCTATAAACCGAATAGGAATTAAAAGGCAGCGTTACAACGCACTTTGAAAAATTTTTTCAAAGTGCGTTAAATTTGGGACCAAGCTAACACACTTTGAAAACAAAAAAAAATTCAAAGTGTGTTATTATCGATCATATTAACGCACTTTGAAAAAAAAATGTAAAGTTTGATCAATGTTCTCACAAAAAAATCGATATGATAAATAATTGATCATGGTTGGATATGAGAAATAAGTTTTGATAAAAAGTTATAAAAGGGAATATTGGTCTTTAAGAAAAAACAGAGAGATACTTTTTTTTAATATCATTATTTTGTTTCTGTTTAAAAATTCAAGTCCGAATAGATAGATGTAATGAGGGAAGGGGGGGGGGGGCTAAAAGTGAACGACTTAAAACATTGAATTTGTCTTAAGAGAAAGGGGCAATTTGATTTTTCAAAACTATGAAAGTTCTTTCTCTCTTATACGTTTTAATGTACTTACATTTTTTCTTAGTTTTCATCTGTATTGAAAGTTTTTACACATCATACTATTATCTAAATACATATTATACATACATGTACCTGTTTTGGGTATAGTCTAGGCATCTAAACCGGGCTAAAGGCAAAAGGAGGGGGCAAAGCCCCTCCCCCACTTATTTTAGAAAGGAGGATATGGAGATAACGAAGAGTATTCAATCTCAAAGTCCATTAAACAACATACAAAATCAGTGCAGAGCAAACACGGACCTCCGAAACATCAGAGGTGGGATTGAGGAGAGAGCATCCCCTGCCGACCGGTCACACCCGCCGTGTGCTCGTTGTCATGATCAGGAAATAACGGAAAAATCTGTCGTCAATTCAGTGTAGATATACATCATATAAGCATTGAAAATGTGGCTTATCCTTTTTGGGGTTTATTACTTTCCTCCCCCGGTTTTGTTGTTGTTACCGACGCCTATGTATTGGAATGATAAAAAATTGGACTGATTAATCTTCAATCCGTTTCTTCCTCTTCTCGACGGGAGTAAATCAATGCATAAGTGTTTTGAAAGATAAATTACAAATAAAATATTTCCATTGCTAAAATCTGAATCCAGAATTTTTTGTTTTTACATATTTCTTCTAAGTGCGTTAAGTTTCTCCATGATAAAATATATTGATGTAAACTTTTAACGCACTTTCAAAAACTTTTTCAAAGTGCGTTGAGTTAGTCCCAAATTTAACGCACTTTGAAAAATTTTTTTCAAAGTCCGTTGATTTTGTCCCAATTTTAACGCACTTTGAAATTTTTTTTCAAAGTGCGTTGCCACAAGGCAGAGTATTTATGAAAAACTCTCTAGACGATGTTTTATGCTACGATGTTATTATCTGCTATATGGCGACAAATCATGTTGATTTTAAAATTAACAGAACAGGGGTTCTATTCAATCAAATGAAATGATTTGATTGATTGATTGTATATTGTTTAACGTCCTTCTCGAGAATGTTTTACTCATATGGAGACCTCACTGTATGCCGATGAAGGGCTTGAAATTTTGACCTTTACTCGGCACTCAGGGCCATTGGGCAGTGAGAGATCTTTATCGTGCCAACGCTTGCCGCTGACTCTGGGCCTAGGTTTTTAAGGTCTCATCCGAAGGACCTGCAACTTTCACTTCAAAGTGTTTGGCGAAGGAACAGTTGCTACCCATTTCATCGACTAGACCAGTCGCAGCCTAGAAAGGAACTCATGACCTCCCGATCACGGAACGAGCGCTCTACCGACTGGGTAAATGAAATGAAGCTTCAAACACTATTAACATAAATATTTTTTTATATAAACAGCTGATCTTTATTCTTAAAAAAATGATGATGAGAAACATTGTTTTAATTACCCTCCTGTTTAAAGCATTAATTGTATGGCATACATGCATTTGCATGAAATAAATAGATATGATATATTTTTAAAATAATTAACTAAAAATTATTATTTGAATTTAAGAATTTAAATAATAATTCTAAAATTATATAGTTAACATCATAATCATATACCCAGAAATTTGCAATTGAACTGGAATTAAGATGTCAATTAAAAATATTTGAAATATTTTTTTTATTTGTGGCATTCTTTCAAGAACTAAAAAAATTAACTTGATAGAAAAATGATCCATATTATGCTTAGAAAAGTTATAATGACCCTTACTCCATCTGTATATTTTCTTTTTCAATTTTTTTTTTCATTCTTTTGAATACGTCTTTTTTTTGTTACCATGCGGTCAGAAGATAAAGCCTTAGTATTTCACGGCATAAAAAAATCTGTACATTGATTTTTGAGTTCCGCTTTGTCGTGGTTATACCGGAAAATTAAGTATGTAACTTGTTTTTTCTATTGCTAATATACTACGAGAGATGCAACATTTAATTCAATTTTCACTGAAAAGAAAACGTTTAATAAAATCACAATTGAAATAAATCGCCCTCTGTTCTTATTTTGTTAAGAAATAAGCTTAATAAAAAAAAAATGAAAAAAAAAAAAAAAAAAAACATTTGTTAAATTAATGCTTTCAGAAATACATGTACCAGAGACTTTCCTAAAATTCATATAGTACACGATAGTACATGTAGTTTTATCATACCATAGGTCATACACTGTATCGAAGTTTAATTGTTTTGGCAATATTCATTTAAAGTTATATATTTAAATTCAGTGTAATTTTCTTTATAAAATCCATTAGAAATCCATGAGGTTTAAATCTCTATAACACACGCGAAACCTTGTCACCTCGCGTTAGAATACACAGTAGGAACTATATGCAGTTTCAAAACTTTATGAACACCAAAATGTACATTGTTTGATACATTTAATTTAAAAGAATAAGCCTAAAAATACAACATATGTGCATTTAGAATTCATTTGTTTTTGTTTTTTTTATCGCAATGTACGTTTGCCATATTTAACTTTACGTCGTCACAAACGTCACGAACGGCTCTTACGTCCATAAAGCACACCAGTTTTGAAGGGCGCTAAATTCTCCTTAAAAATTACTGAAATAAACAATAATGAATAGGAAAAGTTAAAGAATGTAAATATCAGTATTGAATTCATATTTTGGGATGTCTTCGGTCCTATTATAATATACCTGGCCGTACCGACAAATTATCATACCGCGCTAACCGCGATTTGTCGGCATGGCCAGGTGTGTTATAGGACCGAATACATTCCAAAATATGAAGTCAATGCTAAAACAGATTTAACATGTGGAATTATAATTGAACAAAAATAAATATTGTCATACATGTAGAATAACAATCCATTAAAAGTGATTTTTTATGTTTCCTTTGCGCTTGGCGGCAACAAAGTTCAAACAAGCTATTTTCAGAATAAAGGTCACAGTCAAGGTAGAAAGGTCAATAACCTTGGTGTAGTTTGAAAGAACTTAAGTAGTGGAGTAGTGCATACACGATATGATTGATTGATTGATTGTATATTGTTTAACGTCCCTCTCGAGAATTTTTTACTCATATGGAGACGTCACTGTATGCCGGTGAAGGGCTTCAAATTTTGACCTTTACTCGGCACTCAGGGCCATTGAGCAGTGAGGGATCTTTATCGTGCCAACGCCTACCGCTGACACGGGGCCTCGGTTTTTAAGGTCTCATCCGAAGGACTCGCAACTTTCACTTCTAAGTGCCGGGCGCATGGCGAAGGAACAGTTGCTACCCATTTTTGATCGACTTAGGTCAGTCGCGGCCGAGATTCTAACTCACGATCTCCCGATCATGAAGCGAGCGCTCTACCGAATGAGCTACCGTGAACGGTCTACAAGATATGAAGTCCATCTCTCACGGTTCAAAAGTTATGGCGAAGGTTAAAGTTGAAAAAAGACAGACAAACAGATAATCAGACAAACAGACGGACAGGACAAAATCAATATACGCCCCGCATTGATCGATTTGGGCGCATAAAAATGTATTCTACAATTTTATGTACTAATGATATCATAAAGATTCATTTTACAAACATAGAATTGTTCATATTTAATTTTTAGCTAACTAGTAATAAATAGCCATTATCATAGTAAACGTCAGTGCGACATAGAAGCAAACCATGATTATGTTTTAGTAAAGTATAGTTTGATAAAACTAGCAAATAATATCATATACTGGATTAAAATATTTTTTCTTCTTTAGATGTACTACAAATGAGAAACAGTATATCGCTAGAAGTAAATGAGGGTAGACTGAAATGGAAAAAAGACAACATCTATTGTGATGTGAACGATATGAATAAGTATACAATTGAAAAAAAGAAAATACGCATCAATAATTTTTCGGAGGAGGACTGTGGTGTATACCAGGGTTTTCACGAAACAAGTCGCTTGGTTAGAAAATTCAACACTTACCCTGTTTCTGTTGGTATGTATCTTCGTCATGTTCTCTGTTTAAGTTCCGTTTAGACTCTGGTTGATTTAATAAATAATAAGGCGCCAACAAAAAACATACTTTTACTTAAGCTGAATACATAACAATGACATAGCATACTAAAACGGCAGGATCGACAAAGTCAATCTTTAAATTCTACAACAATGTACATTCCACTGAAATTCATTTCTGAAGATAAAATGGACTTAAAGTATGTCACTCGTTACATTTGTTAAATCAAGGATTTTTTGGGAAGTATATTTTGGATAAGTACTCATATAGTGTGACTCAAAATCACTGAGAAAATAGGGAGTCAGTGTGCATCTTACTGACCTACAGAACAATAAAGTTGACCTTTTTGCACTTAAATTTAAACTCTTTGGTTAATTACTTTAACCATTATCGTATTTTATCACATGTAACAATGGCAATAATAATAATGATATAATTTTATTTTATGGATTTGTTTTCCTCATTTAGGAAAATAAATTCCCTTAGAAAATTAAATTCTCCCATAGTAAATTAAAGTGCTACAGGAAATTTAAAATATCATGCAGGAAATTGTGAAATCCTGCAGGATTTTGATAATATCTCTCAGGATTTACAATTTTCCGACGGAAATTTTATTTTTCCCCTGGGAATTTTTTGTTCAAAGGTGATTATCTCACCTGACAGGTAAAATTTACCTGTAACAAAGGCAGTTATAAACTCTGTGAGTAATGGTCTACCACTTTGTATACATGATTTTTATGTTAAATGTGAATTTGGCGGGCCTTAAGCTTTGTCAAAAAATTTCGCAGTGTCCGTTTTTTTTATATAGGTAAAGTAAAAAAAAAAGCCACACAGGTTAAAACAGCGCTTTCATTATATCTTCAGACGTTTTATAAATGCATACTTTAGCTTGATTGCAATGTCTTACAAAACTATTAATACTTTAGAAATCATCATCTCTAATTGAATCTTTTAGGAGGTTTCATAGTCATTCAGATAGGCAGGGTTTTTTAACGAAACGATCTGCGAGGGCTGGCTATGTATGAAACACCAAATGGTCGTGAAGTACTTGATGTAGGTCGAGAGGCATTTGTCTTGAATTCTTTTTCTGGCAGTGTTTATGTAGGTGACGGTACCTCCTATATGATTACAGGATCATAAAGTCTTTCATTTTCATCAGGATTGAATCATATGTGGATGAAATGTCGCTGTTTGAACAACATGTCTGCGAGCAGTAACTCTGTCCCAAAAGCAACTTTGATACTGATTTTGTCTTCTGAATAGGGCTTGGCAAAAATAGCGATATTTCTGGAATTAAGATGATGGTAAATTGTGGTATATTTCTTTGACTGTTCATTCAAATCTAGTTGCTAACAGGCCCGGCTCAGGTGGAACGTTGACTACTGTTTACCACCTCCTGATATAGCGAATAGATCCTCTGCTTTGGGGATAGGGTAATTGCCAAGCTTAGACACTCTCTTCATACCCACTTTACAGTCCCATCTAATACGCATAATCTTGTCACTTTAAACATTTGGTGACATAGGAATCATCCTCTCTGAAAACCCCAAAGACTTATTCCACAACTGATCAATCTATCTCTTGTTCGATTTTCTCCTTCAATGTAATGGTGGAAAACGGATTTTGAAGTACTGTATCTAGGTTTTTCAAAAGTGTTTACTACATGTATTTTTCTTTCACGGTTCCATATTATCCTCTCTTGAAGAGAACTTAAAACTTCTTCAGAGCATGATCCACATCAGTATACACTTCAGTTTTTACTTGGAATACTTCCTTTTGGCACAGCTTAAAGACAGCCAACCAATCACGACAAAGATATCACGACGTTTTACCTATGCCGACCTCCGCTTTCACGTCATACTGCTTATTTTTGTTGATCATGGTCAATCGCACTGCCCCCGATATGGGAAGAAGTTCTCCACTATACATGTAAGTACGTAGTTTTGGAAATGATTGGTTCGGGTCAAACTGTGGATCGAATTTTAACAAAGTCTTTATGCTTTATCACTAATTACAGTCTTACTGGGTCCACTTTCCAACTTCAGGGACTAGTAAACTTCCAAGTTCAAGGACACCCTGAAAGGTGATTGTCTGCCCGCCACCATCATATGATTCAATGTGGTCTTCTTACATCATCATTAAATGTATCGCATAAATTGTGCACATTTTCCCTTCGGAAATAATCCGTTGAACTGTAATTTTTAAAGTCTTTTGAGTTTTGTGTTGTTTTATATTGGATTTTATTTGCTTTGTGTGTTGAAATTCCTTATCCTCGGCTGGCACAGAAAGAAACAAAACCTTTCAGTTAAATCTTAAAACTGCCGGATTTCAGTGATATTTAAATAGACATTGGGTCCCATAATGACATGTGCATTTAAGAAAATCTTTCATCCACAATTCAGATACCTTCAAGTTATCATTCAGCAGCCCTTTTTGTCCACTTTCTTGGCCGTTTTGTGACCTTTCCGCCGTATGTCAGTTCTTTGTCCGTCGCCTTCTCTGTGACCTTTTTGTTGTCTTTTGATGATCCTTTATTCTCAATTCGATGATTGAAAATCACTAGCTTATCATTATTAAGAAATCAATTATTAATCAGGAAGTGTTTTTGATATATCTTTTAATGTTAATTTTTAAATGTGTTTTATTTTCTTGTCGTGATAAAAGTCGTGTCTATGTCTATGGAACAAGTGATCATTGTTAGATGTTCATCTTTCTTTAAACCATTTACTTAAATCTTAAAGCAATATGAGCTGCAAATAATTTGTTGCAAAAAAAAAAACACAGACACACAAAAAAAATTTCAATGACAGAAAAATATACTTTAATAAACTCCTGTGGTTCACATTTCCGAGTGAAAGAACTAATAAGCATCGGATTCATAAAATTCAAAATAATTTACTAAATTTTAAGTTGTTGCGTGAAGTTGGATTTAGAAAAAAATATTCAAATGATTAAAATTAATGATCCAATACTCTTATCAAAATAGACAAAGCTTTGTCTATTTTTTTTTTATTTCTGTGAAATCTCTAAATCAGGAAAAAAGATTTTTTACGAAGGTTATTTAATTTAGTAATTTGAATAAATAAACAATAAGTCAATCTGAAAACTAAATCAAGGATATTACTTAAGTGTTTAATATAAACAAGAATAATCTTATCCTATTCTTTTTCAGCTTTAAAAATAATAGTTTTATTACGGTCTTCCGCTTCAACGGAAGAATTTCTTATTATTCTGTTGTTTCTTTTCAACTTTTCTTATAATTATTATTTTTACCGATTTTGCACACGCGATTTCTCGTAAATGCGTTGTTGGATGTACATGAAACTTTCAGCAATGATTGCATTTATAATATGAACTTAAGGCGGTTTTTTTTTAATTTGATGACGTCACTTCCAGTCGCGATTTATTTCAGTTTTTCTGTTTTCAAATGAAATTTTATACGTGCCTTTTCTCAAAAACGATTAAAGATTCAGTCATGAAACTTCCTGTGATAAAAGATCTTGATCTTTACATGTGTATCCGGTGCTTTGATTTTTAAGGCATTACTTCCGTTGTCCACCGGAAGTAGTATAAAAATAAGCATTTGTGAATTTTTTTTCAATTCTAAACATTTTTAGTATAAAAGGTATATAAGCATATAGATTGTTTCAAGTCATATTAATTCCACCCGAAGTAGGGTCTTAAAAACCGGAAGTTGGGTCTTATTATGGAAGGTGTTAAAAAATTTGTATTTTTCGTTTAAATTTTTAGAAAATTCATGAAAACACTCATTCTGAATTTCTTCGCCAAGCGCTCGGCACTAGAAGTGAAAGTCACGGGTCTTTCGGATATGACATTAAAAACGTAGGTCCCGTATCACGGTAGGCGCTGGCACGATAAAGAACCCTCACTGCTCAATGGCCCTGAGTGCCGAGTATAGGACTAAATTTGAAGCCCTTCACCGGCATACGGTGACGTCTCCATATCAGTGAAAAATTCTCAAGAGGGACGTTAAACAATATACAATCAATCAATCAATCATTCTGAATTTAAAGTCGTTTTCAGCACTTCATGTAACACCGGAAGTAAATGAAAAAGAACCGGAATATACCAAATATCTCATTTTTTTATGTGTTTTGTCAGCATATTTTAAATAATTTTAGTACTTATTTTATTTATCTTTATTTGCTCTTCAATAGTTAAGTGGAGGTTATCATTATTATTCTATCAATCCAACACATTGTATAATACATTTGAGTTTCAGAGAAAAAATATCTTGTATTGAACGACGAGACAGAATTAATATTTCTTTGACATTTACTTTTTTTCTTGAAGAAATTTAAATTTTTTTTTAATCATTATTATTATTTCAAAAAGTGACATGTCAAGTTACATAATAAGATTTTTAGTCACATTCACACACACAATCACACTTGCCCTCTGTTTTTAAACAAAAATGAAATATTAAATATTAAACAGTATTTCATTCAAGAAATATGTAAAGTTGGTGTTTAAGTAAATGTTAAAACTCAAAAATAGTAATCCATGGTGACCATAGATATTCAAAATTGTTCATTGTACATTCTATTTTGTACTTAAGAGTTAAATGATGTAGCAGCCCAGTAATCATAGGCATTTTGTTCTGCTTTAAACAAGAAAATATATATTGCTTTGTATATAAAATAATGAAATTTATCACTCTATTATAATAAGAAAATGGCATTTCACCTAAAATAATATTGCATGTGTTAAATCCAACTCTTTTAGAAGTTTTTGTAAATATGTGCATGCTAAGATTACTCCATAGTAAAGAAATGTTTCTACAAGTTAAAAATGTATGTTGTATTGTTTCTATATCCTGTTTACAAAAGGTACAATGATCATCAGATAAAATACTTATTTTCTTCAAATTATATTTCACTGAAAGGATTCTATGAAGGATTCTATTCTGTAACCATTGAGCAGAAGTATCCATAGTTGTTCTAATACAAACCTAAAAACAT